CGAATAGGATTTGCCCCCGAGACACGGACGTGAATGACGTGCAGATTGATTATGATACGACAGGTCAACCGTGGTCTGCAAGTGACGTTCCATTTCTCATGGGATAATTAGTATTAAATATTGTTATTAAATAAATGCTACGACGGTCCACATGTGTGTGTTATTGCTGGACCTGTGAAATGGTGTGATCATTCATTCACCTTGCATCCCAGGGAACTGAAGATGAACACCGCCGATTAATGTAAACCTTGGTATGGCTTAAGAGATAGTAGGCATCACAATAAACCTAGTACCTGACGAGCGAGCAGTAGGATGCGCATGTGGTATGGCTTAAGAGCTAACAAGCATCACAATAAAGCTAGTACCTGCTGAACAAGCAGCGGGGTGCGCTTGAGGCAGGGTTTAAAAGCTAGCGGAGGACAAAGGGGTTCGTGCCAGGTTCTCTTGCAGCGCTATCGTTTGCCCTGCTTCTCATTCCACAATAACTGAATCGTCTTTAAAATATTACTCTAAACGGATTAACTAATGTTTATTGACACCCTACCAAACGCTCAATATGTCAGTCAGGCTATGTCGCGATATTTGTTGGGAGACAGTGTGTAAGTCTACATCGAAACCTGAGTTCTCTCTGAATTTGTAAACGAACTTATAGTACGAACGACATAGGATTGCGCATCTCGTTCCTCGATGTACAGATGGGTTCCTTTCAATAGAGTGACTGGAATTGGCAGGTCATTGCTTGATTGACGGACTCCAACAGCCAACACGTGAATACCGCCGTTCGCTCTTCAGATCTAGATTTGGTTCCTGGTCTGGTTTTGTTGTCCATAATAAACCTGTTATTCTATCAGCTCATTCTAAAGTCAACTTCGTCTCATCAATATTTATAAAATATTGTGTGACAGTCTAGACGTATGCCGGTGTTCGCTATTCTGCAAAAGTTCCATTTCACATAGTGGTCGAAATAGTGTACCATTGTCGGCCGTTGTCGGCCACTATGCTTATAAGCCTGCTTGCCCTTGAAGTCGGCAATCATTTCACGCACTGCGAAGGTAATCTTTAGATTATGCGTTATATCGTGAGTGAGAAGAAATTTCTGTTTTGAACACCAAACGTCCAACGCATCTGCATGGGTATCGAGAACTGGGAAGATAGATTAATGCATATCATATCTGCATACAAACTTATCGATGTATCCAACCAACAATTATCGATGCCGCAACTGGTTTCCAGATGCCTGCTACTGACGCCAACTGGGGCTATGCAACCGTGCCGCAAAACACCTCGTGCGTTAAGTTTGAAGACAGCCGGTGCGACTACGCCGTGGGGCGCGCCGTTGGCGGAGGTACTGTCATCAACCACATGTTCGTGTTGCGAGGCAACAAACGCGACTATGATTCCTGGGAGGAGATGGGCAACGAGGGATGGGGCTATGACAAACTCCTTGAATACTTCAAACGGGTAGAGGGAGTAGAGATTCCTAGCTTGCAGAATAGTTCGTACAGGTGAGTAGAAAGCTGCTATTGATCAGATACAGGTGATTAGATACATAGCCCGAATACTATTTTAAAAATTAAAACGTGTGAATTGGCAAGATATATTGGTCATTATTGCAACTGAATTCATACAAAAGGGTGAAGAGATATTTTTATCCCCTTGAGGAAGACCGGAGAAATAACAGCTGAGCTATATTTCTCGAATATAATAAGTATCATTATCGTCGAGTATAATATTTCATATTTTGTCATTTAATTTGTAACAGTGAAATCCAAATAGAAAATAAGTTTTCAATTCCATTTTTTAAATAATGTTTGTCCTTGCACCAAGGAGTGTTCAATTCTTTTTCCCAAAAAATGTGTGTTTTTACATTAATACTGTAACGTTTCTCCGTGGTGAATTAAAACACACGCAGGTAAAAATTTTAACAATTACGTTTATTTGTAAACAATGCTACACAAAAAATACTTGATTTATTTACAGATATATTACACAGTCTATGGGTTCTTCACTTGATTATTTTCCTTACACACAATTCCATTCTCTTGATTATTTATTTACACAATTCACTTCTTCTGATTATTTATTTACACTGAACACTGCAATCTGATTATTTATTTACACTGTTCACTTCTTGTACACTATCACACAGTCCGATGCACTGTCCACGGTCCACTGCGCATACCACAATTCCCTGCGCCGACCAGGGTCCACTGCACTGCTCTTTACCGCAATGCACACTTCACAGCTCAGCTTCCGTTGCAGACTTCAGACTGCTGACTATTGTTCACCCACTGCACCACTGTTCACCGCAATACATACTTTATAACTCAGCTTCCACTTCAGACAGACTCCTGCATGCTCACACTGACGGACTGACTGCTTACTCACTGATTACATACACTGACTCGCGGCTACTTACTACCGACAGCTCTCTGCGACTGCAACTGCGACTGCGACTGCGACTGCGAATTTATACCTGGCCGGCGCTTGTCTCGACAAAACCGGCGCTTGCACCACATTTGTACGCGACTCGCGAATAGTTCGGAACCGCCCAGTTCAGGGGGAAGGGGGGCGCCGGCAGATGACGCAATAAGCGCAGCGAATCCTCGCAGATGATGCAATATTCATTACAATACATTACTGTTTGCTATTTCTTCCCAAAACATCTTTAGTTTGAGGGGATATTGTCGCTGTCGTCCGTCACTCGCGTCTACATGTTTATTGCGAACAGCCAGTGGACGTCCTTCGGTTTGGGTTGCGATAATGGGGAATTTTCTATACTTATTGCATAAATAGATGAGTAGATAAAATTCATTCAGTTGTCCGATGAATATATCAGGCGAATACCTTGGCCCTAAGCTAAGAAACTGGCTCTGGACCGCACGCGATGTTTCCATCCTGATTGTTGTCCCCTTATCTCCCCTTGCACACACACACATAAACCTGTACAACTCTACCGTACAGGTGCGGAGTCCAGACGGAAGCTTAGAGCTGGGTGGATACCTGGAGAAACAAACCTCGAAGGCCGCCGTTCTAACGTTCCATCGGGGGTGGAACGACATGGCCGCCACCCTCTTGAGATAGAACTTGCACTACATTTACGTGTCTGATGGGCAAAGTGGTCGGCGCGTGGGCGTGTGTCCCCAGAGGGTAC